TACGATGGATTTTATCACGAAGCTTCCCAAGACCGCACGAGGAGTAGATTCGATTTGGGTCATCGTGGATCGATTGACCAAGAGCGCCCATTTTATCCCGATCCAGGAGAGTATCTCGGCCGAAAAGTTGGCCGATATCTATATTAGGGAGATAGTGGCGCGACACGGGGTGCCAGTATCAGTGATATCAGACCGAGATGTGCGGTTCACTTCCAGGTTTTGGAAGTAGTTTCATGATGAGTTGGGCACTCGTCTACATTTTAGCACCGCCTTTCACCGCAGACGGATGGTCAAAGCGAGCGGACCATCCAGACTTTTGAGGATATGTTACGGGCATGCGTGTTAGACTTCGGTGGTAGCTGGGATACCTATATTCCCTTGGCTGAGTTCTCGTACAACAACAACTACCACGCGAGTATTAACCGTCCCCCATTCGAGATGTTGTACGGACGGAGGTGTAGGACCCCGATATGTTGGGTGAAGTTTGTCAGAGGGTCATGGGGAGCACCGAGGTGGTGCTCAAGATGACCGAAATGATCCAACGGGTTCGAAGCAGGCTTCAGACTGCGCGAAGTCGGCAGAAAAGTTACGCCGACAAGCGTCGATCAGACCTGGAGTTTCAGGTCGGGGATATGGTTCTCCTGAAGGTGTCGCCTTGCAAAGGCATCATTCAATTTAGGAAGCGGGGCAATTTGGGCCTGAGATACATTGGTCCATACAGGGTTATAGCATGGGTGGGCAAGGTGGCATATAGGCTGGATCTGCCAGCCGAGCTCAGTGAGATCCACAACACCTTCCATGTCTCCCAACTACGGAAATGCCTAGTGGATGATTCAGCGGTGGTGCCGCTAGAGGATATACAGGTTGATGACAGCCTGAATTACATTGAGCGCCCAGTCGCAATCCTCGACCGGAAGTCGAAGGATCTAAGGAATAAGAGGGTGGAATTGGTGAAGGTGCAGTGGCAGCATTGAAAGGGTTCATAGTGGACTTGGGAGCCGGTGGAAGAAATGATGGAGCATTATCCCGAGCTGTTTCAGGATCGAGCAGCAGACTTCGAGGACGAAGTCTAAAATAAGTGGGGGAGCTTTGTAGCACCTGGTTCCTGGTACATAAAATCTATCTAAGTATTTTCATTTTAGCCTTGGACTCGGCGAGTTGTAGGCCCGACTCGCCGAGTGGAGACGGGTTTGGGAGCATGTTTAAGTTGGCGACTCGGCGAGTTCATATTCTGGACTCGGCGAGTCCCCACTGTCTGATGAAACCTTAAATTTCAAGGGCTTGCACCCTATTTAAGCCCTCTTATCCGCCCCCAAGCTCGCCCCCTTCACCCTCAGAGCTCCTTATATCGTCCAACCCTTGTTCCTTGTGAGATTGAAGTGCTTTGGTGTGTTTTCTTGAAGATTTTGAGAGAAAATGAGAGTAGATCAAGAAGAGAAGAAGGAGGCCAGACATCTTGGTGTTATTTCAGTGATTTCCTTGAGGTATAACTCAGTTTCCCTCTGTTTTCATGCTTATTATCCCTTGTAGCTCCATGAAAGTCCTTCTTGAGCCTTTCCCCAAGCTTGTTTGCGTATTAGAGTTGATAATAAGTAGTTTAGCCTCTAGATCTAGGCATGATTGAGCTCTAGGAGCTTGGATCTACTGTCTTTATGGAGCCATAGTGCATGAAAGCCCTAGATCTACTCTTTTGGTGCATTTTGAGCCCTAAAACCCTCATGGGTGTTTATTTACACGTAAAGTTGGAAACTTTACATGTAAACCAGGCCCTAGAAACTCAGATCTATGAATGGCATGGGCTGGATTCAAGCAGAATCGCGTGTATAGTATTTGCATGCGGCAGACTCGGCGAGTCGTTCACCCGACTCGGCGAGTCGAGTCGCAAGTCCCCGAGTTTTCCCCCTTTTCGTGTTTGCGGGTTGGGGTAGTGAGTCATAGGGTGTGACTCAGTGGGTTGGAAGCCAGACTTACTCATGTAGTAACTCGGCGAGTCAATGCCATGACTCGGCGAGTTCAAGGCAATCTTCTTTCCTCAAGAACGGACTCGGTGAGTTGTTCATACAACTCGGCAAGTCTCAGCATAGAGTGTTCTTTAGATGAAGACGAACTCAACGAGATGTTCATACAACTCGGCGAGTAGAATAAAGAACGTTTGGTCATCAGCTTAGAAGGAAAACTTGTCGAGTCAATGCCAAACTCAACGAGTAGAGACGGGATAGTGGTCAGACAAAGGGATAAGGACTTGGGAAGTTGACAAGCCAACTCGGCGAGTCGGGTCAACTGGAAGTTGACTTTGACTTTGACTCATGGTTTGATTAAGGGTAAATGGTCAGTTTACCCTGAGGTCAGTTAGCAGTATTTGACTAAGTGTTTGGTGGGAATTACAGCCAGAGGATTTTCGGAGCAGCAGCAACAGACAGACCGTTCCCACACAGAGCAGCAGCTATGAGGTGAGTTACCTTCCAGTAGTGGTGGGTCTATGGCCACAATGTCGGCCCACCAGTAGGATTGTATGATAGATGTTTATCTCTGTGATATTCATCTAGGATTGTTACTACATGTGATATGCTAATGTGCTAGTATGATATGATGATATGTGCTAGTGACAGTAAGGGGAGATAGTCCCCAGTATACCAATCGATAGGGCCGAAGGGGCGGTCATGCCCAACCATGCTAGATAGATTATGAGATATATAAGTTATGTGGTAGTAGTAGGGGGATGAAATAGTCCCTAGTATCCGGTCGAGAGGACCGAAGGGGAGACCATCACCCAGATATGCTTGTCAGTATCCGGTCGAGAGGACCGAGGGGGGGGGGGGGGAAGCTCCCAGATATATTGGTCAGTATCCGGTCGAGGGGACCGGAGGGGAGGCCAGATCCCAGATCCTAGATATCCTAGATAGTATCCGGTCGAGAGGACCGAAGGGGTAGGTCGGGCACCCAGATATACTTGACAATATATGTATGTTGTGTGATTGTATGGTATGTGGTATGTTGGGGGAACTCACTAAGCTTCATGCTTATAGTTTTCAGTTTTCGTTTTAGGTACCTCTTCTTCGAAGGGGAAAGAGCTGGCACGGTAGTGGCCCATCACACACACGCTTTGTATTCCGCACTATGAGATCTTCCTGGGGATTGTACTGTGACGTTGTTATGTTTTTATAAACTGATTTCCAGACACGCACACTTTTATTAATGATAAGATCGCTGTATGTTTTATTATTAATGTTTTGCTAATTATATGTTTTTAAAAATGAAATTTTTGGCTCGTATTTTTGGGATGTTACACCTCTTTAGGGTGATCCAAGAGCCCAAAACACAACTATTAATTAATTGGAAAACAACCCATGTACTTTTAATTAATTCCTTTAATCGCAAAATTAATTTCAAATTAATTTATGATTAAATATTAATTAAACAACATGATTTATAATAGACACACTTCTAAAGTTAGCTAGTGCTTGTGTCAATTCAAGTGTATTACCAAAAATATAATAGACACACTCCTCACGATCATTACTTAGCATTTTAAGTTTAAGTCTATAAATCATACAAATTCCAAATTCGTTTAAACAAACGTTCTGATATCAATTATGACATCTCAAAATTTACGGTTTTGATTCTGTGTGGTTTGTGGTTTTTCATGCGGATTTGAGGTTATTTCTGTACGTTTTTGGTTTTCAACGGAAAATAAATCGGTGAGATTTTGCGCTTAGAATTATGCGGGTTTTTTTTTTTTTTTTTTTTTTTTTTTTTTTTTTTTTTTTTGAAATTTCCAAACCAATTTTTTTGCATTTATAGAATTTTGTTGACTTTCATTTATTTTTAGATTTTTATTTCAAATAATTTACCATTTCGGTTCATTTCATTCTTGCAAGTTGCGTTTTATTATATATTAAATAATATTGCGGTTATTTCGGTTTTTATGGTGTGGTTATATGGATTACAACCGAACAACACCGAAATTTCAATTTTTTTTTTTTAATTTAAAACCACACCATTGGTTATGTAGGTTTCGGTTTTTCGGTTTTCGATGCGGTTTTTGCTCACATATAAATAATATCATGGTTAAATATCATTATATTTGTATTATTATTTATAATAATTAAAATATTATTTACAAGAATTATCCTTTCTTATTTGTCATGATTTCTACACAAAATGTTAAAGATACTTATTTACTTAGATCCGGCAACTCATTAAATAAAAAATAATATCTATTTATACAACACTTTGCCAAGCCGTATACTATTATTCATGTAAAATTGATAAAGAAGAAACAAACAATTTTTAGTTAATTTAGTATAAATGATAAAATACATCTATGTGATTTTAACACTGTGTGCTATTAATAACACTAATTGTGAAACTCGTATACTATAAAGGTTGATTAAAACAAAATGTTAAATACAAATAATTAACGGTAAGTTTATTTAAATTTTAAATTTAATATAAATAAAAATTATGATTTTTTTTTAAAATGCAAAAAAAATTAATTAAAATTATATATTTAATTGTGAGACTCATATATTATAGGTGTTAATTATGATAAAATATTAAATGCGAAAATATCACTGTAAAGAAAAGATTGAAATTGAAGATTGAAATTTAAAATTAATATAATCATTTTGATACGTTGAATTTATAGAAACTAAATAAATAATATATTAAAAATTAAAAAATAAAATAAATAACAAATAGAAAATAAATATTTTAAAACTATGAAAAAACACACGAGACATGCGATAAAATTATTTTAATAAGTAGTTACTAAAATAATTTACGTCATTATTTTTATTTTATTTATTTTTTTGTCATAATTAAAACCGCAAAATTCATTTACTCAATTGAAATAATAAAAAATTAACCTTTTTTATACTTTTTGAACCCAATAATATGTTAATGTAGCGCCGGTGAAAGCGAGTAAACGAACCCTTCTCCTATTTGAAACGTTTCTTGGGTATAATTATTTGAAATAATTAAAGTTAATTTTATTATTAAAATAATTAAGCAAAAAGCAAAAAACCATGTCCATGTGGGTCTTCTCTTCATCTCTTGTACAACCTGGTTTGCATTCAAACCACTCCTCCATGTGGAAAGCAAAACCAAATCCACTTTTTTCTGATTAAAATTCTCCCAATTTTGCAGAATAAACATCTCCCACTGACTAAATTCTGCCGGAAAAACCAACTTTCCGGCGTCTTTCTTCATGCATTCATGTGTTTTAGTGAACACAATTTCAAGAAAGTAGAGTGAATCACTGAATCTTGAGTTTGATTAAATCTTGATTATGTCTTCTCCGCCATCCCCGGCGCCTGCAGCACCGCCGGTTAACACCACTTCACCGCCACCAGCAGCAGCACCCCCACTTCCAACTCCAACCACCCCCGTTTCTCCCTCTCCGGCAGCTCCTTCACCGCCGGCCCCTGTAACGCCTGCGTCTTCTCCACCGGCGCCTGACGCTACGCCTCCCTCAGTATCCCCCCCGGCGCCACCTACACTCACCTCCCCACCGCCTTCAACCACTTCTCCTTCCCCACCCACTTCAAGAAACAGCCCGCCGTCTCCTTCGGGTAGATCTACGCCATCTCCGCCGCCTCCAAGAAGTTCTTCCTCCCCTCCGCCGGGACCCTCTTCGTCGTCAGATAGTTCATCAGGGATTTCCACCGGCGTCGTCGTCGGAATCGCTGTTGGTGGCGTTTTAATACTTGCTGTATTAACTATCTTGTTTCTTTGCTGTAAAAAGAAGCGAAAAAGAAGTCAGGCTCCTGTTGGTTATTACGTTCCACCACTACCCCCACCTAAAGGTTCGCACTTTTCTCAATTCCATATTTTACCCTCATGTTCATAGATCTTTCTTCAAGATTTTAATCATATCAATTCCCTAATTTCAACATCAATCTTTAGTTGATTCATACGGTGGTCCACAACAATGGCAACAAAGCGCTCCGCCACCCGGCGACCATCTTCTCACAATGCCACCACTAAAACCCACTCCTCCACCAGCACCGTCAGCAGCACCTATCAATTCTCCTCCCTCGCAACCTCCACCGCCGGCCCTATTTAACAGCGGTGGTTCCGGTTCCAACTATTCCGGCGGTTCAAACCCACTTCCACCGCCTTCCCCGGGCATGTCACTGGGTTTCTCAAAGAGCACATTCACATACGAAGAATTAGCGAGAGCCACAGATGGGTTTTCCGAAGCCAATTTTCTTGGACAAGGTGGTTTCGGGTATGTCCACCGTGGTGTTCTTCCGAACGGGAAAGAGGTGGCGGTGAAGCAACTAAAAACGGGCAGCGGGCAGGGGGAACGTGAGTTTCAGGCGGAAGTTGAGATCATTAGTCGAGTTCATCATAAACATCTCGTTTCTTTAGTTGGATATTGCATATCAGGAGCTCAAAGATTGGTTGTTTATGAGTTTGTTCCAAATAACACCATGGAATTCCACTTACATGGTAACTTTTCCCTTTTTTCCAAAACTACTACAAATTTAGAAATTACAATCATGAATTACTTTCAAAACCGGAATATTATTTATTTATTTATTTTTTTATAAATTTCAGGAAAGAATCGCCCCGTAATGGAGTTTCCCACAAGGCTGCGAATTGCTCTTGGAGCCGCGAAAGGACTCGCGTATCTCCATGAGGATTGTAAGTACTGTTTCTTATATAATTATATTATATTATATTATAATATATATATATATGTATATATATATATATATATATATATATATATATATATATATATATATATATATATATATATATATATATATATATATATATATATATATAGTAGAAAAGACTTAATGTGTTAATTTGTTTGTAGGTCATCCGAAGATCATTCATCGAGATATAAAAGCTGCTAATATACTTCTTGATTTCAATTTTGAAGCAAAGGTAACTTATTATCGTTATAATACCGAGATATCTGTTATCTGCTATCTGTTATATTTGTTGTATATTTACTAGCCTCGAATAAACTGTGGCAGGTAGCGGATTTTGGGCTTGCGAAGATAACTTCCGACGTTGCCACTCATGTCTCAACCCGTGTGATGGGAAGTTTTGGGTACATTTTTTTTTTCTTTCTCGAGTTTCATATCCGATTTAGCAATGTACTTTGTTTATTATATTTTGTATTATTCTACTTTCATTTCTTCCTATTACAACATTGTACTTTTCTCTTTCAAAAATAAACATTGCACAATGTTAGATAAATCTCATGTATTTAATGTTGATAGGTACCTAGCACCAGAATATGCAGCCTCAGGCAAACTTTCAGATAAATCTGATGTTTTCTCATTTGGTGTGATGCTTTTGGAATTAATCACTGGAAAGAGACCTGTTGATTCAGCTCAAACTTTTATGGATGATAGTTTGGTTGATTGGGTAAGTTTTTTTTTATATATACTTTTTATTTAAAAAAAATTTAGTCGAAAAGTTTCAAACTTTTGTTGGAATGTGGATTTGGCCCTATATGTGAAGAAAAAAGTAGGCAAGACCATGTGTAAGCACGTTAACAACGACCCATCAAGTTTTCTTTATGAGCACACATATAGAGAATTTTTCGGGCATTATTAGGCTTTAGTCAAAAAGATTTGAACTTTTTGTTAGGAATTTCTTGATTTCGACCAATCATATGAGAAAAGTTGGCAAGAACATGCTTTATGAAGATCTTTACTAGAATTTAGATAAAGGTCGTATCACGTTTGAACTTATTTTAAGTTGAAAAAGTTTTGGGTTGAATGCAAAAACAGCAACATACTTTCATTGATTTTGTTTATTATAGCAATGTCTTCCAAATATGAAGCTATATTATTCACTTCTATAATTTGATAATAGAAAATTTGAATATACAATGCTATAATTTGGTAGATTTGTAATGCCTAAATAAGATTTCTTTTTTAAAAAAATGTACTATGTTGCAGTAAAAAAAGAAATGAAAGCGGGTCTATTAAAGTTTTGGGTAATATGCAAAAAATAACAACATGCTTTCAATTTCTTTTTTCTTATTAACCTTATATTTTGATCAATATCTATAATAAACAAATATATGAAAGTACGTTGCCATTTCATTGGTTTTAACCCTAAAAAATTTGAATGTACAATGCTATCACTAGGCAGATTTTTTAGAGTATAATACCATAACAAGAAAAAAAAATTGAAAGGATAATGCTGTAACATAAATAAATGAAAGTAGGAAACTATAATACACAAATAAACGAAAGTACGTTGCTATTTCTTAAATTTAGTTATCGTTAGGTAGATTTTTCTCTTAGTATAATCGCATAACAAGAAAAAAGATTGAAAGTATGTTGCTATTTCTTGCATTTATTAACGGAACTTAAATTACAGGCAAGGCCATTACTCACTCGAGCCATGGATGATGGAAACTTTGACACAATAGCCGATCCACGGCTACAAAAAGACTACAACCATAGCGAGATGGCTCGCATGGTTTCTTGTGCTGCGGCCTGCGTCCGTCACTCAGCTAGACGCAGGCCGCGCATGAGCCAGGTGGTCCGGGCCCTGGAAGGAGACGTCTCACTCTCCGACCTGACTGAGGGGACCCAACCTGGCTCAGTTGGATCGCTCTACGGGTCCCGCGGAAGCTCGGACTATGACACGGCTCAGTACAATGAAGATATGGTGAAGTTTAGAAAGATGGCTTTGGGTGGTACTCAAGAGTATGCAAGTAGTGAATATAGCCGACCCACAAGTGAATACGGGTTGTACCCGTCAGGGTCAAGTAGTGAAGGTCAAAATACCCGAGAAATGGAAATGGGTAAGTATAAAAGAGAGGGTTTTAGTGATGGGTTTTGATGTATAAAATTTGTTGGTAATTTTGATGATATGTTCTTGTATGTTATTGGAGAAAAATTGTGGGAATGGGTAATGATTTTATTATTTTGTTGTGAGTTTGATTGTATTTATTGATTACATTTTGTTTTATACACTAATGGGAATTCTTTTATTTCTTTGTCTTTTGGTTTTAATTGAGATCGCAATAGTTGGTTTGTATTGAGGACAAAAGATGATGTTGATGGAGTTTGAAACGTTACAATTTGTGGGACCTTTACAAGACTTGAAGGCATAAATTTAGAATTATATGATGGGATTTGCTTAATAATTAATTGATCGACATGAAAGAGCATGTCGATATTATTACATATTTGATCGACATAAATTATATTTATTCTAGAAAATAAAGATATTATTATATGTCCAAGATAAAAGGGGTTGTATAATATTTTTCTATTAGTTTTGGTAAAAGGTTGAATCTGATTCAATAAGATCATAATTAAAAGCTTTTCTTAGGTCTTATAAGATCATATATAACATCATATATGCTTTTTATTAGGTTAATATCATAATTAAAAGCTTTTCTTAGGTCTTATAACATCATATATGCTTTTTATTAGGTCTGATAAAAAACTGGATTTGGCTTAATCAAATCTTTGAATCAATTAGATCTAATTCTCATACAATATCTCAACTAAAATTCTTTTTAAAATTCATAAATTTGAAATGGAAACTAGATATATGTGACAAGGTGTGAAAACGTAAATGCTAAATATGAACAAAAACAGGTTGGAAAGTGTTGAATAACAATAGTTAGAGGGCATTGATAGCTAAAATGACAGGTAGTTATTCCCGTTAAAAGTTACAATATAAAATGACAGAATCTTGGTATATTCTACACTTCAATCATAACAAGGAATTGCAGAGTGTTATGAACCCTAGATTCCGTTTCATCTAGGGGACGAAATCGGAGAAATTGAAGTTCTGAATTCATGGCGTCCCGTCGTCGTATGCTTCTCAAAGTCATAATCCTCGGTGACAGCGGGTTTGTCTCTCTAATTCCTCAATTTTCCATATTTTTAATTAATACTTTACTTATTCACTGATTTGAGGTCAATTACGCTGTTTTATGGTGTTTATTGATTGATTACAGGGTTGGAAAGACATCTCTCATGAATCAGTATCCTTAATTTCCAGATCGTTTTAGTTCATCCCGTTGCCCTAACTTCACTGCTAAATTTTGAAATGGAATCGAGATCGTTCAGCTTGTCGATATCGTCGAATCTTATAATCGAAAACACTCCATTAATTTTCGTGTTCATGTCCTTGAAAAAATAAGATATCAGTTTTGGTTTGGAAACGTACTGAACTTTTTGTGAGAAATCAGAGTGTTGATCTTTTTTTGGTAATTGAAAGTGTAATACAAAATTGATATGCATGTTATCATCTTGTTATCAGCCTTAATGATGTGAATTCAGATACGTGAACCGAAAGTTCAGTAATCAGTACAAAGCTACAATCGGAGCTGATTTCTTAACTAAAGAGATACAATTTGAAGATAGGCTTTTCACTTTACAGGTCTGATTCATTACAAACGTCCATGAAATCACGCCATTATTATAAGTTTATAAGCATCCATTGTTGAATTCGATACGGTTTGGGGGTTGATTTTGTTACAGATATGGGACACAGCTGGACAAGAAAGATTCCAAAGCCTTGGTGTGGCATTTTATCGTGGTGCAGATTGTTGTGTTCTTGTGCATGATGTGAATGTGATGAAGTCATTTGAGAGTCTTAATAATTGGAGGGAAGAGTTTCTTATTCAAGCTAGTCCTTCTGATCCAGAAAACTTTCCATTTGTTGTTTTGGGAAACAAGATCGATGTTGATGGGGGCAATAGCAGAGTGGTAATATGGTCTTTCTATCTTTTTTAATTTAAATTCATCAAGATTCAACTTCCAATACACAAGTAACAAATGGAATGCGAAAACACATTTGTTTAATCTACTTTGTTGTTTTCAGGTGTCGGAGAAGAAAGCAAAAGCATGGTGTGCTTCAAAAGGAAATATTCCTTACTTTGAAACATCTGCTAAAGAAGGGTTTAATGTTGAAGCTGCTTTCGAATGCATAGCCAAAAATGCTCTCAAAAATGAACCCGAAGAGGAAATGTATGTTTCCTATCCCTCTTTTTTTTTTTTTTAAAGAATTTTGAGAAAATAAAGAAATTGAAGGAAAATAAATGAGGATAAGTTTATAAAAAAGAAACAGTGCTTATTTGACAGATGAGCCTGTAAAATTATGATAAGACTATTATTTCCACAAGTTTTCCAAATATACCCTTATATGTCATTTTAGTTATATATCCAAATGCCCTTTTATGTCCTTTTACATTTTCGATCTAACTTACCACTTAGTTTTTTTTTACCAAACACTATTAGTTTATCAGCTAACTTTTCAGCTCTTATGTTAAACACAACCTAACAACTTTTTATTTTTTTTAATTTAATTTAATTTAATTTTTATCACTTTTTGTTGGGGATGAAGGTATATTCCGGATACAATTGATGTGGCAAGGGAAAGACAACAAAAATCTTCGGGATGTGAGTGTTAAATGGATTATTTCAAGGTATTCTGATGCAAGTTTTATGTATATTTTGAAGAGATGACGTCAGCTATACCAAGTTCTTCTTTATCTTCGTCCATATATTCCTATTATTTCATAGTTGATACCCTAAATTGTTGATTAATTTGGTTTTATATGTAATTTGTTACCAAGTGCTACAAGATATTCTCATAATCTCTTTCTAAGGTCCACTATTCATTTAATATGTTGATTACGAGTTTTGATAATATATAAGGATGAGTCGACCTACAAACAGTTTCTTTTTTCTGTCTTAAGATATTTTTTATAAATAAATAAGAGTAAATTACATAAATGGTCCCTATGGTTTGGCAAAATAGGCACATATAGTCCAACTTCAACAAAATAGACAAAGTCGGTCCTTGTGTTTTGTCGGTATTGTAGGAATGGTCCTTCTGACACATGACGCCAAAAAAATGCCGTTGCAACTCTTTAAAATGATATTTTTACCGTTTTTTTCCTCCATATTTTATTGTTACTTGGGACCATTTATGTAATTTTAAACGTAGTGTCGTCTAGTGGTATGGAGTGATCATCTCATATGAGAGGTCAGGGGTTCAAGTCTCGGTGGAAACATAGGTGGTTATTTAGGAGTAGATTAGTTAGTTTGCCGTTTCAAAAAAAAACCAAGAATATTCAACTCTTCATCTTCAAAAATAATTCGAACGGTTTTCATCTTCAAACTTTCAAAACAATCAAAACATAAATTTTTGAAGATTTAATCCAAAGAATATGATTAAACACAAACATTAAAACCATCTTCAACCTTCAACCCAAACCTGTATACCATGAACAAAATAAAAATCCTTCCAAAAATCCATCATCTTCTTTGAAATAAAAAGATCTAGAACATATAATCTTCTTTCAAATCTAGCTCGTCAACGCAAAGAATAGCAAAGGTAAAACAGATCAAGGGATGATGAACACTTTGAACACACGAATGTTTACGACGAATATCAAAGAATCTCATAAAAGGAAAAAAAAAAAAAACCAAAGATCTAGGATCCTGAAAAGCCTCCATCTTCAAATACGTCTCTCTACCACCGTACACCATCTTCGTCGTCTCTCTTTTCTATTAATCGACCATATTGAAGAAAATGAAGTGTAATTTCTTGTATCGTGATTATTAAACTGGACAATCCAATGAAGGTTTCAAATGATAACAATGTAAACCACATTCTCTCTAGCAACCGCCTCTTGTGAAACTTTATCGTTTTCTATCATTTTTGAAATTAATTTCACAATCGATATCTAAACCTTCATTGGAGATTTCTAAAAAAAATGTACTATAATGGGGACATTGGCTCGTTTGTGATTAAACTAGCCCTATCTTGAGTGTTGCCAAGTTAAAGTGTGTGGTGGAGGTTGTAATTTGGGTTTCCGACGAAGTATCATCTTTCAAAAGCCTTAACAATGTTGTATGTAACGTCCCAAAAATACTAATAAAATTTTCATTTTTAAACCATCGAATCCATACAACCATTTCCAAAACCAATCATAATAAAATATATCTTTCAAACATCAGAGTAAAATAATAATAATCAGTGCAGAAAAGTCATCAGGCGATGCTGTGCAGTCAAGCCGAGTCATTCCCTTTGGAACTAGAAGTACTTGAAAATGTTTAAACCATAAAACCGTCGAGTTTGCCCTTCAACTCACTGAGTTCCCATAAACCACAGAATCGTGAAATCGCAATCCAACTCGTCGAGTTTTCCTCCAACTCGCCGAGTTCTTCCTTTTTAACAGAATCATGACTCCTCAATACAACTCGTCGAGTCCTTCCGTGAACTCATCGAGTTCTTCAGTCTGTTAATTCTTCTTAATGCTTTAAACCATTATTCTTCAGATCTACACCCTATACTCCAGATCTAGACTGGAAATGTCCCTAAAAGGGTAAAGTTTCAAACATTACCCATTAATACCTTTCCTAAAGGGATTAAGCTCAAACCCTAACCCAAAAAGGCCAAAGTCATAATTCAAACATCACAAAAACTACAAGATAGACTATGAGGTCATAGATCTGGACTTCGGTGGCAGTTGGGATATGTATCTTCCGTTAGCAGAATTTTCGTATAACAACAGTTACCATGCGAGTATTGATCGACCTCCTTTCGAGATGCTTAATGGGAGGAAGTGCAGGACCCCGATTTGTTGGGGCGAGGTCGGTCAGCGAGTCATTGGGAGCAACGAAGTGGTGCTCAAGACGACATAGTTGATCCAACAGGTTCGTAGCAGACTGCAGATTGCGCAGAGTTGGCAGAAGAGCTACGCCGATAGGAGGCGTTCAGACTTGGAATTCCAGGTGGGCGATATGGTCCTCCTGAAGGTATCACCTTGGAAGGGTGTTATCAGGTTTCGAAAAAGGGGAAAGTTGGGCCCC